ACACACACACACACACACACACACACACACACACACACACACACACACACACACACACACACACACACACACACACACAGCGTTAGTTTACCTCTCTGGATGTGTGCTGATCCTGAACACTCAGCACAGCATACTGCAGGCACTGCTATTCAGTTCAGTTTGGTCATCAAAAGAAAGGACTTGGTTTGGGTTTTAGCTGTGTGACAAAGTCATGATAACCAGGGCAGCAGCAAAGCTTGCAAGCGCAGGCAGTGAATACAGTTTGGTGCATTAAGCTCAGTAAAAAAAAGGTCAGATACATTTTTGTGCAGGATTTGGCATTTACTTGCTCTCACTGTAAGACTCTTTGCATTTGGAGTATTTTAACTTCACAATATGAAATCAAATGCTGCTTTTTACATGGACACCACCAAATTACATGATCTGTGCCATGCATTTGGTAAATATAAGCAAAGAAAATGCAAAGTAAGAGCAATTAGGCCAACTTGTGCAACTAAACTGACCATATTAACAAGTCATTTCAGCTTTCTTTGAATAAAAAAAATGTGTTTATGACTTGATAAGATGGATGCTCTACCTCGGGTGTGCATTGAGTTTGTCAAGCAGTGGTTCTGAATAAATCACCTGGTGTTTTATCAGACGTAAATAACCAAAGCAGGTGTGGACATTGGTGAGAACAGCACAGCAGAAGGGTAAGCAGGAAAGAAAAAAGTGATTGTTTTGTGATGGTGATACTGAAGGAAGCATAGCAAACCTGCTTTGAAGTTAGTTATGAGTGTCTCAACAAAAAAACATATTCTTTTGCTTAAAGTGCTTACTCAATCCCTAACAAAACCCATTGTGGTCTAAAGGGTTTTCAGTGCAGGATTGGGCTCAGGACAGCATGAATTGCCTTTAAGATTTCACCGTCAACCAGAAAAACTAACCTTCTCCTTCTCAGTTTAGGAGAGCGCAGAAAGTAGAAGAGACCGCTAGAGGCTAAACTAGAACTTCTGACGTGTCAAACAACATGAAAGGAAAGCGTTAAAAGGGAAGACTGAGAGAAAACAGGAAAAATGTTAGATCTGAGAGTTAGAGTTAGTCTGCTGGTCCAATTAAATGCACATCACGGCAGGTGTGAAGGATAAAACTCCTACTGTAACACCGGAGAGCACTTCAGCACGTGCTCTGCCTGAGAAGGCAGTGCGAGTTTACTCTGTACTATATATCTGGCATGGATTTAAGGCTCTTACAGCAAGTAGAAAAGGTTAAACCAGTAAAATTATTTACTGCTGAATGGAACACAAAAATCTAAACCAAGTGTTAAACCTTTGTTTCATTTTGGGGGAAAAAGAACCCAGTAACATCTCACCTTGCTGCTCTCTTCTCAGAGTGAACGCTGTCGTTGTCTCCCAGGTTGAGTGAAGCAAGGGACAAGCTGGAGACTGAAAAGACACGCTGGCGTGAACCTGGATGTGAGATAATCACACGTGGCACAACACAACACGACACGATTACACCACAGCACGAATGAAAACACCACCGGACTGTCCACGGTGTTTTGTGCCACCTGCGACAGCATTAGAGCCTCAGTGCTGCGACTGAAATGTCTCGCAACCACAAATACATGCAAAACCAACTAATATGATGCATAATTAAACACATATTCAGTAAAATCAGATCATATAATGCTTTTTTAAAAATATACACATATCACACATGCATACACTGATGCTGCTTCCTTCAACGTGAGGTTTTAATTTGTTATTTTAGAATAATTTTTCAGTATACTAATTATTATTATTATTGCATTAATATCAATGCCATATATTAGCTTGATATTTTTACTATATAAAACAGCATTTAAGGAAACATCAGGAGGAAGGCAGCGCTCAGCTGGTTGCTTAACACAGTCTAAGGTGGCACAATGCACTGCAGCAGCGAGACACTGATGTGACAGACGAGATGGCATTGACCTCTCTAAGAGAGGGGGTCATCGCCATGGTTACCTGTGGCAGCCCTCACGGGGGTTTTGGGTGAGTCCATGCTATCGCGATGGATAGACTTCGGTCGCCCTCGCCTCTGTTTGGCCCCTGCCGCGGGTCGAGGTTTAATGACGGTGTCCATGTCCTCCATCAGCTTCAGCTGCTTCCTCCGGAGGTACTCCTGCTTGATGAACTCCTTCCTGGCCTTGTCCTCCTCCTTCCTGACACGCTCCTCTTCGGCTTTCAGTCTGAACAGATGCAGGGATGGAAGGAGAGTTAGCAATAAGATACTTTGAAATGCTAAATTCACCATACAAGAGACAGCCGATTGATTTGTAAATATTGCACTGCACTGCTATTAAAAAGAGACTAGTTATTTGGCAAGATGTTGAACGTTAATCAGGTCTATAAGTCTTAGATATATTAAGCAAATATTGGGACATAATGGGCTTTAGAAAGCTGTGATGTTACTATTACTATCTTGTGATGTTTCATAAATGGACAGAATGAAGAAAATACATGGAAGATAATACAAAATGGAAACAAAAAATATGAGGAAAAAGTAGGAAAAAGATTCTAGTAAAGCATCAAATAAAATCCCAACAAACAAGTTCATTTTTTTTCTCAGACGGACACACCGAGCTTCCTCTTTTTTCTGCTCCAGCTCAGCTTCCAGCTGCATCTTCTTCTGCTGGCTCTCCTTTTCCCTTCGCATCCTTTTCTCCAGCAGTGCAGCCCTCTTCTGCGCCATGTTCTCCTCTGCTTTTCCATCCTCCTGTAGGAACACAAGGCAGCTGGGTTAAAGTGTGTGTGTGAGGTAATGCAAGCTGCTGTGTCAATTTATGAATATTATACGTTTAGCTGTTTATCTGTTTTTCATCAAGCAAAGTTGACCTTCTGTGATTGTGATGCAAATCCAGAGCTGGCAGAACCGAGTGTCATTTTGATACCCAGTAAATCCTTTTTATTGTTGTTTTGTTCAATCTAATCTGATATAATGAAGAGATGACTCTAAACCTGGATTGTGGAAAGGTCAGCATGCTCTTGTAATATTAAATGAAGCATTCAAAAGGGCTTGCAGAAGCCACAGAACAGAGGAATTTCTCAGGGCCAGAAAGAGCACATTCATTTGAAGGCTTTCTAAACACTTTATTATGCAACAGACGCTTTGTTTCATGTCCCTGTGGTTAACGCTGTAATATCTGAGTTCAGACTATAAATATAAACACACGTGACCAAATGAATTTGAATTCAGCTGTTTCTAATGGTGGCACAGCAAACTTCTAATGCAACTCAACTACAAATCTGATTCCTGTAGAGGTTAATTCATGTGACCGCTCATTGCTCATCCCTCTGTATCCACCCTCGTTTTCTAGCCGACCCATCTTCAGCCCCGTGTTTCCACAGCTGCGCCTGAATTATTCACAGCAGCCCCAGTTTTGTGACCCACATTGAAGCCCAGACAGCAGTTAGCAGCAGCCGTAGAAGCTATAAATGGGAAGATGATACTATCCTCAAACAGCATATATCCTGTGCTACTTATCATCTTCACCTAGGAACAAAAACTGTTTCCCTATGAAAACAATCATTTCTGCCCAATTACAAATATGTCTGTAGGTTTTTTCAATTTATTTTCAACTCAGCGACACGTTTAACTGCCACTCGGGTTGTGCGTGTGTTAATTTTTGTGATTTAGCCTACCTTGAAAAAGAAACCACGGCACAGCTTCTGTTCATCATCTAGGCTTTCCGCATCCCCCTGCTGCATCTCCAGGCTTTCATCCAGAGTTGGATCCTCTAGCGGTTTCACCACTGACAGAGGAACTTCAATCAAACTGCTTTTGGCTTGGCCAGACAATTCTGACTGGAAAGGGATCTCTGTTGGCATCACCGTGAAGGTCTCTATCACAGGGTGGGCTAGAACTTCAGGGAATGTTGACTCTAAAGTAGGTTTGAGCTCTATATCTGACTTCTGAGCTTTCTGGTAATCTGTTTCCATGTCAGTGGTCTTGGATTGGTGGGGAGTTTCTATTTCCTGGGTTTGGGCATTAGTACCTACTTCACTTTGCTCTTTCTTGTTCTGCAGTTTTGGGGAGGGGGAGCCGGCTATACCCACAAGCTCTCGCTCTGGGGAAAGGAGGGAATGTGTTTCCTTGTTTTTATCTGCAACTGGAGCGACCGTCTCCAAATTGGCGGTTGCTGGTTTCTCCCCCATGTAAACGAAGGAACTTGCCAGGGGCTGGCAGGGAGAAAATCGCCGTAGCCTTGGGATGCTATCGACAGACTGTGGCGCGGTTAGGACGCGACTGTAGGGTGCCAGCTTGAGCTCGCTGGGTCGAGGGGTGCGAGGATTACGTGAGTGGAAGGATGCAGATTTCCGTTTGATGCTGGTTGGAGAGCGATGGGTGGAACGAGGGGAGTCAGCCGGAGAAGAGGGTCCCGAGGATCGAGTGACGGCTCCGGCTCGACCGTGCTTCTGTGGCAAGGGGTTTGTATGTGGAGGAGGGATGACCCACGCCTGCTGCTGTTTTTGCTCCCTCATGGCCATGATTACTTCTTGCTGCTGAGCCAATCGCTGCATCTCAGTTTGGAGGAAGGCCAAAGAGTGGTTGAGTTTCTCAATTGAACGTGTATACTCTGTGAGATCCACTTCTGTCAGCTGAGCGTGGCTTTGTCCGCCTTCCTCACCTGCACCGGGAGATTTTTGCCAACAGGAAGCCGTGCTGCTTTGCTCTGCCCCGTCAGGTGTGTCTGCCTTGTTCCTCCCAAATTTAAAGGTAGGACTTGTACTTGCTGACTTTCCTTCTCCCTCAGTTTTTCCTCCCTCTTCTCCACTTGCTGCACCGTCACCTTTTCTCTTTACCACGTTTAGGAATGCTGAGTGGCCCATCTTTTGCCGATGCCTTGTAAAAGCTGCCTCCACTTTCTTCTTCTGCGCCTCAATAGCTTTCCGTTTCTCCTCGAGCCTCATCCGCAGCTGCACCATCTCTGTAGCCATGACCTGAGCGGGGTCATTGGGTGGAAGCTGGACAGGTGTGGGTGACGGCTGTGAAATAGGGGGCGGTGTGCTTTGTTGGCGGACCGGGCTGTGCTCAGGGGTCGGGGCCCATGAGACAGATAATGGGAGCCCAAATTCAGAGCCCTCCGGAGTGGTCTTCAGCGAGCTGCAGCTGCCCCTTCCTGAGTCTGGTGCTGATGGATTAAGCTTCTTCATCTTCTGCTCAGCAAAGCTAGTCATCTTTACTGCTGAAGGGGATTTGCTTTGACTGCTTGGGCAGGGGCTCGGCGTGTCCATGTCCAGCTCCATGTTCACAGAGCAGTCTTTCAGAGAGGAATCTTCATCCAGCATGTCCTCTGTTTGGATATGGATGCCAGTGTCCACTTCTGTGGTGTCTGTTGTGCTCAAAGGTCCTTTGGAGTCCACCTCTGACACTGGATCTAAAGCACCAACGCCGGCACCATGTTCCTGACTATGCAGAAAGAAACCATTGTTGATGCCCTCCACTGGTGGCCTGGTTGGGCTTTGGATAATCTGGAGGGCTTCCTCCGTGGACGGAGTTGTTTCTGTAACTCCTCTGTGTCCGTTGGAGTACCCTTGCTTGCTCGGCTCCATGCCAGCAAGGCTGTCTGGGCAGCCTTCCTCTTCAATGCCGACACTCTGACCATTCACTGGCTGGAAGGACAGGTTGCGCTTCATTCCACGGGGCATGTGAAGGACCTTGAAACCAGAACCATCATCCGTGCTGACAGACCTGACCATGCCACGTGTGGAGGGAACAGTGGCAGGCGCAGACTCCTCTTTATCAAAGGGGATGTCAAAGGACACACCGTAAGGCCCAGATCTTAACACAAAAGACAAAACAAAAAACAACAAGAAATTGTAATTTAATTTAGCAGATTTGGTTAACAAATGATAAAAGGTTAGACATAAAGAGGGCAATGATAACACTCACCTCTTCTCTTTTGGCCAGGTACCGAGATTGCCATCAACAAAGGACATCGAGGTTGACCTCTTGATCTCTCCTGTAAGACGCATATGATGAGTAACAATCACAACAGAATGCTTTTGTATATACTTTGTATGTATTTCCATAAATAAATATAATCACCTGAGTTTCGGGGCTGGGGCCGCAGGGGTAAACTTGAGAACGAGAGAGACAAACATGATGATGGGAACTGAGAATTTTCTGCCACCTGATTTCTTGTCATTGTAACTTGGTGCTAACATACCTGGGTCTTTCAGGGCTTGGGGGCCTTTCCATAAAACTCTTCTTAGTTGCCTTGGAGATGGGGATTACAGGGAAATTCTTCAAGAAGGATGAGGGCTCTGACGTGATAAGACAAATAAAAATGATCGCACTGTGGTTTTTCAATAGACACAATGTAATATTGCATGATCCTTATCTGATTAATTTGTGTATGATTCAGAGAAAAAACATTACCATACTTAGTTACTGCTGCTTCGCTACAAATCGTGACACTAGCATGACTATAGCTACTTTAAATTTAATTGAAGCGGCATTACATTTTAGGTTAGCTTTCCCTTCATCCATAGTTTACAATGATTTGTGTTTATTGGAATTGTGTATGTTGGAATGAACGTCTGGCCATATGGTTGATTATGCATCTTTGTTCGATCATGTACGCTTTAATGTCTGAATTTTATTCGAAACTGTGAAGCAATTTGTGTCTCTTTGAAAAATGCTATACAAATAAAGTTGCAGGGTTAGAATTTCACACTTGCCTGTGCCTTCGGTATCGAGCTTTCTTGGTTCCACAAATGACGGTTTGACCACCTCAAACCACCAAAACAGCTCTGCCATGAACGCCAGGTAGTTATTCTGGGGAGGAAAACAAGAGCAAGATTGAAACCATTCAAAAACACGTAAATGCTACAGCACAGAGAATAAAATCCGGATGAGTCCAAAACAGCTTCATTCAACTGCATTGTCTGATTTGTCCAGCAGGTGTCTCTGTTAAGCTGAGGTATCATAAACTTGTATTGTACCCTGTGTATATATGACTAATTAGTTGATAGAATATCCTCTTTAAGAGAAACATGCCTCACAGTTCAAACGACTGTAGAGTCATTTACAGGGAAATTATATTTTCTCTGTGTTGGCTCAGGTAATGTAAATGATGCTAAAGCAAATAGTAACAGTGCTAGTCGAGAAGCGATTAAGACATTAACCTCATTTACAAAATAGAGGTCACCTGCATCCAACCTGAATGAGACTGAGAGTCAGAGCTCAAAGGGATTTAACACTGCTGTGCCAGGTCATGTCCACGTTTGAATCGGGTCAACATACACGAGGAGGTGAAACTGCTGGAGGAGAGTGCACTGCGCTGCAAAAAACATCAATCTTACAAAGTCCCTGACTCAGTATTTCATTCTCCCAAAGCACTGTTGTTTGTTTCCTTATAATAATGGGAAAAAAGCTTATTCTCTAGAAACATTGCCTTTCTTCTGCTCCCTCTTTCTAAATTCTTTCAACCTGTCACTGTCTTGAAACAAAGAAATGACCAAATAACATGTCTCCAATCCAAACAGATGAGATTCATTTACAGTAATCAATTTATGCTGAATGATCAGGCCAAATTGTACAGTTTTTCTTTATTCACTCACAGACACACACAAATGCAAATGAGTGGAGTAAAGCACGACCTTGAGGAATCCCACCCTCTACCAGCTCTCAGTCCACGGTCTCCAGACAAAGACAATGGTGCGTGCTCCAGCTCTAAAGAAGCCTGACTCAAGTCATGAGCAGCATCTTTCTGTACCAGTCAAACACCAGAGCGCACGTGTCAACTGAAGCACAAAACCACACCAGGAAGGACGGAGGCAATTAACACCAGCACCCTGGTTGGCTGGAGGGGGGGGGTGTTACTGCAGCATTTCACATGGTTTTGTTTCCCGTCTAATTCACATGCGAGCGTGCAGGGCTGCAAGAAGACGAAAAGGTGTGTCTGCTGCAGAATCCTGCTCCGCTGGTGTGAGAAGCAGTGGAGCACATGGTTAACAAAGTCGTTAGAGTTGAGTAAGCAAAGAATTACTAATGAACTCCAAATCAAATAGTGCTGGTTACCTTTTAGGTGTGTTCAGCATGTGAAGCACTCCTCAGAAGAAAGAAAAAGCAGGAAAAAAAATGACTGAATGAGAAAGAGACAAAGATCTCCTGTCATCCGCCCTTCCCAGATTGGTGCCACCAGCTTACTTGTTCTCTCCTCCCATCTGTTCGCCCGACTACTACTGACACACCAGGTGTGAGTGTTTTTGCTTAATACCCCCAGCCTCAGCACTCACACACACACACACACACTCAGTCTGATCCCTTAAACCAACCACTGCACCACCACCACACCTATCTCCCCAGCGAATGGCATTACTGCCTCGTGGGTTGCCAGGTCTGCAGCATTGCCAAGTTCCCTGTCTGCAGATTTGAGTGTGTGCCGCTCAGAATGAAGTCAGATTGGTGATTACTAGAAGACTAGAAGATCAGAGCTGAGAGTGGTGGGGTGGGGGAAGCTAATCCACTTTGCGGGTATAGGAATAAACACCCTCCCCCTCCTCCCCTGTATGTGCCACACACATACACAACAGTGAAACATTCAAATGCATAGGAAAATATATACCAACAAAGCCCCTAGAAATGATGTTGAAGATGCGGCCTATAGCCACACAGTGAGCATTCAGAGGGAATTAATCTTAACAGTCACTGGGCCAGAGGGTTGATTAAAGGATCTACGTCCAGCAGCCAGCCAGACAGACTCACTCCAATCTGGAAAAACCACCCTTTGGTCTATCGCCAAGTTTATCAGACAGCTGCCAGACGCCTATTGAAAGACGGTAGGAGAAAACATTTGGATTTTTAGAAGCGATTGCTCAGAGACACGTAGTATCGAACAGAGAAATTATACTAGACTGCAATGTGTGTTGACTACAGCCACGGCTATTATACTGTATGTAATCCTGTGTGCCACTTTAGGTCAAAGGAGTAAAAGTGCCATCCTTCACTGCTGACAGTCAGATCATAAACTAATTGAGAATCACGTTGAAGAGGGAGATTATGAATTATTGTAAGTGTGTTAACTGCCTCCTCAGGGCAACCGCAGCATGTTTGCGAGGAACCTCGTGGTACAAAAGGAGCTGGTGAATTTCATTTATCTTCCTTGAGTCCATAGATAGCCACTATGATGTGTGAGGAATTAATTAAACATAGAGCCAGTAAATGGGAGCGGGTTGGGTGATTTAGTGGTCTGGTGTCCATTAGCAAAGAATGGCCTTAGGTAATGTATGTGATATATGGCTTTTGGGTTCCTTACAGAAAAGAAGAAAGTGTTTTGCTTCTTACTAAGGTATACTGAACAAAATGTCAAGTCAACCTGTCATCACCATACATGCAAATTTTGTGTACCTTGAGAGGAAAGAGTGCAGACTCTTAATCTTGGAGAGGGGTACATATTTACCAGAAAGAGACCTGGTGTCTGACATGAAGATATCAGGCAGACTAGTTTGGGGGGGTGTGTGCAGTAAATGTTCCCACTGTAACGCTTCATGCTCTTTTCCAATTTTCTGCATCTGATTTCTTAGGAAGACTGATAACATCTATTAAATGATCTTCTCCACACCAGCTAGAGTTGATCATTTAAGCTAAACTGTGGCATCTTCCAGGTTCTCTCTTTACTGCAATCCTATATTCTGATGCACTTTATTGTCACGTGTTATATCTTATGAATTATGACTATTTTAATGTCAATCAATTGAGAAGTGTGTTTTTAACTGTTTGGAAACCACCAGCTCTAATCTCCGCTAACCACATCTGGCAGCAGCATTAGCAGAGGGACACTTTCACAGAGGCAAAGTGTGAGTCTATTGTGTGTGTTACTGTAACACGTGTGCCCAATCTTGTCATCACTTTCTCAAAGATACTGTCCCATTTACTCTGTTTCCTCGCTCCTTCTCCTTCCTAATTGTTTCAAACTGTGTTATCACCTTCTTGTCGCTTCTCTCCCGTTCCCACTTTTTTCCACATCAACACCTCGTGCGCCTCCCCTCCCCTCTAAGCGAAGGCTCATTCTCTGTAATATTGTCTCCATCAGCGTGCCGAGCAACAACATACGACCACCGAGGGTGTGACTCCCTGCAATCTGGGTCAAGGTTACTGAATCTAACTAGTTCTGTGTGCACTCGTGTCTGCCGCGCTGCTTCTCTCAGGCAATTACTGTGCCTGCTGAGACTGCTCTACCCCTCCTGAAATCAGTGTCAGCAAAATGCTGCTAATGGCTGGTTCACAAAGCTTGGTGATTATTTTTTTGACACCATGTTGAAAAGAATGCATGTGCTTTGGGCTGAAATTGATATGTTTCTTTTGCTTTTTCTTTTCTTTTCTTTTTTTTTTTTTTAGAAATTTTGTGCAAAATAAAGCATGTAAAGGGCACTTTCCTCTAAATATGAATACATTTCATTACTTTAAGCATATAATAATACTTTCAATACTTTCTACCTTCATCATTTTGCTGGATTTCAGCTTCAAAACTGCTTTTTTCAGCGTGTTTCCTTTAGATATTAGACATATTTTAGTCAGTTTGGACAGTCCCCTGAGGTTTGTCCTTTCAGTGACCTGTATTGTGTGTGTGCTCAGAGCTCTCCTACATCTGAGGACATGCTGAGGTGACAGTCAGGGAAAGTCAAACTTATCCAGACACATCAACTTATTTTTCCCCTGCCCGTGCAGCTCTCGGGCAAAACACACTGAGACCGACACACTAAAAACAAACTCATGAGCATGAGAGAGGGAACGTTAGATCAAACCACTGAGCAAACACAAGTGCACTGTGATTGTGGCAACCACTGGCTATAATGGCAATTTGATGATAAATTAGTAGGTATGCAACAGAAATATATATATATGTATATGCAGTATGCACACCAGCTGACCAAGTAAACATACTGAAATGTTGTGGATTCAAAGAGAGAGTGGGACATTAGTGAAGGGGTAAAATAAGCTCTTTCCTGTGTGTCTCGAGTGACTTATATATGTTTTTATGGTAACGGCAGAAAAGCAGGGCTGAGCTTAATGTAAAATGCGGACTGTCTCCATGGCACTCCAGCTGCAATACACATTCATACACCAAGAAACCACACACACACCGAGAAACAACAGTGTTATAGACGAGAGAGGACTGAAGGATTTATAAATCACAAAGGTCTCTGTCAAGAGAAACTAGTACTGTCTGAGAAAGGTCAGCAAACATGAGGAGAAACATCATTAGTAAAATTCCTTAAAAGCAGTGGCAACTTTTTAAATGAAATAAACGAGCAAAAGAAAAAGGATGGTTGGAGAAGAAGAAAGAGTAACTAGAGAAGGAAATTAGGAAATGAAGATGAAAAGAAAACAAACAATGGAAAGCAAATTACAGGGCAGAAAAATGAACGCATGCATAGACTGTTTGGAGGAAAAGGCTGAGTGGAGCTCTCCAAGCTTGTGGCTGGTGAAGACGGATAGTTTGGACTGAAAGTTTCTTTTCCACAGCGTGACTCACCACACCGGCCTACACTGCTGCACACTTCTCTTGTTTCATTTAGCCTGAATCTAACACCACATGGGGTTCTAATCTGTGTCGGTACAACGCTTACGAATAATTTTAAAGTGTTTTGGGAAAAAGTCATCAAGTCTGACTGGGACTGACATCGCAAACTAGTGTTTTAAATAGAGCAGGCGGCACTGCGGACAGGGTTTGGATTTTCTGCTAACAGACATTTTTTACTGGGTACCATTCTAACGTTTTAGCAGCTAAAATTCTATTTTTACAACACTGTAATGACTGAGAGTGAAGAATCTGTTTACAGTGAGAACCATGAGATCGCCAAGCAACCAGTAAACCAACAAACCAAGATCAGCATCACAATGCAAGCCTCAGATCACACCACAAACGCAAATGCAGTGCCTAAAAATGTATTCTTACAATCTTATATATTAACTTAAGCAAGTATTTCATTAGACAGTAGTACCTTGATGGTGGAGGAGGCGTAGAGCATGTCTTCCAGGCTGAAGTGGCAGCAGCTGTTCAGGTTGTCTTTGCAGAAGTCTTGTATTAGCTGCAGGTTGTACAGTCGATCAGCCAGACTCATATTCTCCTTCAGGCAAACATCTGGGAGGGCAGAGAGATCCATCAGGTGTCACTGTGACGGAGTACGAATTTGATGATTGAAGTCGGTCTGGTTATAATGCAGACGTCAGTGTTTTCGTTTTTACTGTGCTGACAGTAATATTTAAGATCAGTGATGGAGCGCGTTCAGAACAATGCTGTGTCTCTTTTTTAGGAACTGCTGAGGCATTTAAAGCGTAAAGTTTTGAGAACGTCTGCCTGACCAATCAAAACACTCCACGGTAGGCATCAACTGGTGGTTGGACGTAAGGTAATTACATCACATTGCTGATGAAGTGTGTGTAATAGCTGACCAAACACACACAAACACACCCCCACACTACATACATCCACAGTCATTTATCCAAGCTGAAACAATCACAGGAACAAAAGATCAATCAGGAAACACTGTTCATTTAAACACGGTAAACAACGCTCCCTGATTGATTTTTGTTCCCCTCATTGTTGTCTGTGCGTTTGCATATTTGTCCTGATATTAACTCGGCTCTCTGGCAACATCTTGAGTCTATTTTGATGTTTGATCTATTGAATAAACCATTAGCTCTTTCCCTCATAAAGACAACATTTGACGACCTCCCCCTGTACTCTCAATTATGAATTTTGACACCTCAATATGTACCAATAAGATGCATTTTGGGTTTAGTTGTTTGGTCAAATAAGCAATTAACTGCTGGTAGACACATTACTTTCATGTTGTACTTTATTATCAAGCCCCCTTTAACTGCAAATTCCACTGACCCACCCACGCTCCTCATGCTTGTTTCTTACCATCCAGTGGCAGCAGCTGAGGACAGTAAAAGTGCAGCAGTGCACCCAGGGCCGAGCCATCTGTGCTGTCTTTTAGCAGGTTGTCCACTGGGGGGATCCAAGGAACTGGCTGGGTCGAGGCCTGCTCCTTCCTGTAGCGAGCCTGCAGAATGTAAAGTACTATAAACCTAGGCCCTTGAGCAAAATTACCAAGCCTACACCTACAGCAGGTATTAAGCCAAATTCCTCCTGCTGTTTCTTACCGTTTCACTAATGACAGCAGCAAAATTAGGGAAGTATAATGGAGCTTTAAAGCAGCAACAAGCGCTGCAAGGCCTCATTGAATTCACTCATGTATTAAAGTAAGTGAACGGCTCTGGAGCCTTGTTGGAACTGAAAAGGAAAAAGAACTGGCACGAGAATGAAGAGAGCTGCATGATTGAAGTAAGTATCACTGATTATTATTCCAGATGTCATGACGTGACCTTAATTATTTTCTCCTTGTATTACAATGAGCTCTTGTTTATGTGGACCATCTTCATCTTCGTACGGATTGAGGAATTACACACAGCTCTGTATGGAAAAACATTGAAATATTGCCATTTCCTTATCAATTTGATATGTATAGTAACTGTGGGAGCTTCTAGATTTCTAAAAGCCAATAATAATCAGTGATTTCCCAAGATTTTATAGTTCAAGCTTCCAGTTAGCAATACAAGGAAGCACGTTAGAGACACAAATAATGGCTATATTGACTTTTGTAAACTCAGGCTCATATACAGAACATGGTTAATGATGGACACTCAGATATTAACTGTCATTTACAGCCTACTTTGTCTGCTTTAAATTAAGAAAAGCAATAATCACATGCATACAGCACTTGTAAATCAAAACAGGAGAAGAGAGAAAATATCTGGTTTATATCACAGTGACTGAGTGATGCACACATGACAAAACGATGGCGATCGGACAGAAAGAGCAATGAAAGACAGTCACTCTGGACACAGATGAAAGAGCAGCGCACTGATTAGTTCACTTACAGGCACAAGCTTCATGTACCACTTGGTTGGAGACTGCAGATGCACAGCAAAGGGAAAAGACAAACAGCAACAAAGAAATACCTGTTAGCCAGATTAGTTAGTAATGGGATTAGTATTACAAGCAAAGACATGACAAACCTGCACTTTTTTCAGAGTGTACAAAAAGACTGTATACAGCAGGCTGTTACTGATTACACATATACTACAGCTGCTTTGGGTTACAGAGTTACCGTGTACTTTCCTCACATCAGCTTGGAGGCTCATTCTTTAAAGATACATGGAAACACTACACCACGACTATTTTCCACCAGCTGACAGTCGATGTGTTAAACCTTGAATGGAACTTTAGACTTAAGCATCAAATTCCCCTCAAAAAAGATCACATTGTATCCTGAAACATTTAACTGAAATTTTAATTGCTCACTTTTACCTCACGTTACCTCAGTGGAAAAAAATGTATTACTGTAACCAAACTGTCAGCTATCCAGTGTCACTGTAAGCTGATTCCAAAAAGGAGAGGATTGCCTCAGTTAACAGCTAATTCCCACGCTACTGAGAAGCATCAAAGACCTAAAATGTAAGTGCCACTCAAGAGGTCTGCGAGCCCTCGACTTCAAAGGCACGCAGTGACTCGTGAGAAGATACAGCTGCTTTGTTCTGAAACCCTCAAAAGTAAATATTAATGTCAGCCAGAGGAAAAATAAATATTAAAGACAGCAAAGAGGATGAAAGGATCAATAGTAGCTTTCGAAGATTCTTCTGATTTTATTGGTGCCACAGCTCTCTGAATGATAATTTGATTTGGCTTCTAACCTTCGATAATTCTACTTCCCCCTAAGCTCACTGAACCGGAAGGATTCTCGACCTCAATAAAAGTATCATAAACCCTGCAGTCACATCACCTCTCCAGGCTGAGCGACATCAACAAAAACAACAACAGCAACAAAAAGCTGTACCCAATCCATGACCTCACAAAGTCAGTGCAGGCCAGCAGGCCAACTTCAAGATTTGGCTGTCAGTTGGGGAACACAGCAAACACAGAGATCAGGATTTGATCACTTCTCAGGCTCTCATCAACATTCTGTCTCTTTTGGAAAAATTTACTCACAAATCACAAATGTTTGAACTTTTATTTTCTCATTTTAACCCGAGTGTAAGGTTGTGTTTATGAAGAACAAACACAATGACATTTTGCAGCAAGGTAACCAAACCTACTCCAAACCCTGCTGTCCCAGTTTGAGAACAAGACACAGGAAATGGATGCTGTCTGTATCTAATGATGATTTAACCTCCTAGGACCTGGCGTCCACATATGTGGACATCACATTTTGGATTATTTAGACCAAAATACTCAATTTTGCTCTACAAGGGCCTGATATCCACTTACTGCTACTGTTCTATCAAAATTTTAAACGAATATCCTCATATGTGGCTCTGATTTTTCATAAAAACAAAAATAAGGTAAAAAAAAAAAATCTGGTAATTCTTTGTTTTTACATTCATTGGGCCCCAATCAGCTCAAATATCAAAGAGAAATTAAAAATGCATAACATTAAATAGTTCGGATCTTAGGCGGTTAAGGCTGGTTAGAGAGTAAAATCTCCACCAATCAAACCCCTGGGGAGAGGTACAGTAATGCCCTCTTTTATCATCTTACAGCAAAGCACACACATGCAAGCACCCTTTATTTCTGTATTTATACACACACACACCCCACCCAAATTCACCCCAGTCATTCCCCTACTCTCTCTCTCTGTGTTACTAGCAAAGTTCATCCTCTCATACAGAGGATGATGTCCGGTTGAGCTGCAGCTCAGCTTTGACAACTTTAAAGGATTAGTCCTTCCTTCTCTGTCCGGACGTGCCTTTGCAGCTCCCTCCTCTTATTCTCCACCCACCATCACCTCTGAACATAATGCAGTAGGTTGAAATAAAAACACCGTTGCCCTGGTGAGCGTCAGTCTGTGTCTCTCTATGCCTGACTGAGACAGAGGCTGTGTGCGTGACTCACACTGCAGTAATACTGCAAAGACTAAAGGGGGGGAAGTATTTGGAGGTGGGGAGTGATGGAGGTACAGGGAGAGAATAGATGAATGTGCTAGACATAGACACCCAAAAAATTAGTAGCTATAAATTTTGCATGTAATTGTATTTTTTTTCCTTTTGCTCTTCTGGGTGTTTGTAACTCTTACTTAAAAATAAAAATAATAAAGAAGTAAACAAACAAACACAAAAAACCCAAACACTTTTTTAGCCTGAAGGCTGCAAGTGAGAAATACATAGTGCTAAAATGCTCTAACTTTCTGAGTCTTTGACAATCAAAGAAACATGTTTGTATAGATAAAAGAAAAAAGAGGATGAAGAGAGCTTCATACATGGCTTCATCTGCATTTCATGAAATACTAAGAGGCAGAAAGAAATGGCTGGAATGACAAAGTGAGCTTAAACCTATTCCATTAAGTCTCCTGCTGGCTCAAATTTCACATCTCCTACAATGCAGTTCAATTCAATTCAATTAGTTTTATTTATAAAACTGAATCACAACAACACCAAGACATTTTATATTGTAAGGTGAAGACTCTACAATAATAGAGAGAAAACCCAAACAACCAAATCACTTGTGACAGTGAGAATGAAAAACTGCCCTTTAACAGGAAGAAACCTCAGGCAGAACCAGGCTCAGACAGGAGCAGCCATCTGCTGTTACTGGTTGGGCCTGATGTGGGGAAGACAGGACATAAGACATGCTATGGAAGAGAGCCAAAGATTAACAATAACTAACAATTAAACACAGAGATGTGTATAACTTTATAGAGAGTGAAAAACAGGAGGGGAAGAAGAACCACAGCCTATTGTGGCATAACTAACAGATGATTCAGGGCCACCTGATCCAGCCCTAAATATATGCTTGTTGTAAGCATAATCCTAAAAGAATCAAAGGTGTCTGACTCCAGAATCCAAACTGGGAGGGCCTTCCTCCCATTCTAATTTTAAATACCCTAGGAACAACAAGTAAGCCAGCACTCTGACAGCAAGTGACTTTGGGCACTATGAGAGATTATGGGAGAAATATGCTCTCTGATACAAGTCCATCAGTACGCTTGCTGCAGTTTCCAGTATTTATCTTTCTCATATCCATATAATAAGTGAAACTTTAACCATAGAAAAACTCTTTTTAAGAAGTTAAATGCAAACATAATGACTGATAAATGTGGACTTCAATTCATCCAAAGGTGTAAAACGGCAGCATCCAATGACTGTGACTTTCTGCGGTGGTTGGACAATGTCATAAGCAGCCATAAGCAAACACAAACACGCAACAATCCGCCAAAGCCGCCCAGAGGTGACAAATGATGTTACCAAAAAGCCAGCTCTCCAGCTCGGGGGCCAAACATGTGATGACACTCACATTGACAGAGCAAGTTAAAGCTATTCCGCTTTAATAAGGGATTTTCTTATATAATAAGCATGACAAAAATCCGATGATGAAATGATGATGTGATGGCACTTTTTCCTTCAACTTCACCAATTAAAGTGTGTGTCATCCTGTGTGTTTGTGGGGGGCTAGCTGAGGCATGCAGTGCTGTGTCTGCATACTGACTGGTCAGATCAGGATCAAACACTGTGGAAGTTTTCCCGAGCCCTGGGACTGGGACAGAAAATGCACACACACACTAAAACACATTGGACAGGGTTACAATTTTTACCCTTAGGTGAACTTTCTCACTCTCTAAACATCTCTAGGAAAAAGCATCACTGACAGTGTTAGTGCATGGAGTTTTTGCCTGATTTAACTCGGGTAGAAAGGCAGTTTGAAAAACCTGGAAGGCCAGAGGAACATGGGTCAAGAAAGGTTATTGGGTGGGATGATAGAGAGAGTCTGGAGAGGGAGGAATGGAGTAACTAAAAAGAAAGAAAAGAACAAACTGCTGATAAATGTCAGCTGAAGTTTATTAATTTTTTTATGGTTATTAAGGATGAGTTAACTTTCAGGGGTCAGCGCTACCCTCCGCATCATTAAAAAACTCACAGCAGGGTGACTTCATAGTAAAAAAAGTAAAAATAATGAATGATCTGGAGTCGAGAAACAGGCGCACAGCATGAAGGATAAGGATAAAGGTGAATACACAGATGACATCATGCATCTCCTCCTCCTCTCCCCCCTCCTCTGTTATCATTCTGCTTTGTTAGGTTGACAGAAAGTGGCTGCCATACCAACTTTGCCCCTTGCTGCTGCACCATAATATTAAATGTAGCTTGACTGTTAGCACACAATGAAGTCATAACAACAGTAAATCCACACACGCACAGATGTTTCATCTGAAAAATATATCAGCATTTTATTGCTATTGTTATATGAGTTTCCACAATAATAAAGTCATAAATGACAAAGATGTGATTCCGGAAATCGGGAATATTTGCTGCGCCCCCTGCTATTACTGGAGCCCAACTTATTCCTCCTTCTCAAATAACCTCTGTGACAAAGAAAGCTAGGCAAAAGGGACAAATATAAGATTTAGGGCAGACTGGAATGTAGGCCATTTCTTTTTGTGCATACTTGATTCGTGCAGCTGCTTCATAGGAAAACCCCCGGTTGCTTTAAATCTGATAACACTGTGGCAGTTAACTGAATTAGCCCGAAATGCTAGTAATGCTTGATAAAACAATAGATAAGCAACATCATTACCACAAACTCTTACATCCATATTAACACTATTATATATAATGGACAGACAGTCCTTATGAAGACCCACATAATTTGTGTATCATTTAAAATACAAAGATAAAGGTGACAAAATTAATATTACCTATTGACATATTATATCATAACGTAATATGGCATGCCATCAACTATATGACACCAGTATAAATAAAACTTCAGATATTTGTTTATCTCTGGCTCTCTTGTCCTGTCACCCTCCCCTCACCACCCCTCCCTGAGCCTGATTCTGTTGGAGGTTTCTTCCTGTTAAAAGGGAGTTTTTCCTTCCCACTGTCGCCAAAGTGCTTGCTCATAGGCGGTTGTCTGATTATTGGGGTTTTCTCTCTACTACTCATTACTTGAAGTGACTGTTCTTGTGATTTGGAGCTATACACATAAAATTGAATTGAATTAATGAAATAATTTACATTTCCATATATATATTTAATAGTATTGATGACTAAACAGCACACAAGGTGATGCATATCAGTGGCAAAATGCAGTCAATAAAGCCTATTCTGTCTCACATTATTTGTTAAATAGTACATCACATATGTTATTTACTCCCAGTACTTAGTAGTCCTGTTGTAGGTATACTGTATCTGTGAACATATGGACTGGTATAGACCTGCTTAAGAGATTTATGAGGTATTTGAATTTAAAGAAAGACTTTATGAGATTTCAGTTAAATCATTTCCACCCATGAGAGGTATTATTCAGTGAATCACTAAATTATTTACTGCAAATGCAGTGTCAAACTACAGAATCCAGCATGGATTACTTAAATACAATAAACAGACACACACACAGGCCACACCAGCCTGTCTCATTGCATTCTAAATTACTGCTGATAGTAGAGTCGGTTATATAACTGGTTTGGACTGTGGGCTGGACCATGAACTTGGGTCACCCCTGATTACCTCATTAGACTGCAGAGGGCTGATGTTCTGGTTAAGACAAAGATGAAGTGATTGAAGCATGCAGAGTTGTCAGAGCAGATAAACTCATTATGGTGTTGAAGAAGTAACCTGGTCTTATCTCTTCCTCTCTCTGTGTGATTTAATTAAGACAGATTGAGCGTAAGCTAAAGCTCAGACATCTGTGAGTCAGATTTTCTTTGATGGCATCAGGATTTTAACAGCTTAACTTCTGTCCAGGAAGCTGTTCACAGACATAAAGTGACATAGAGGTCTGGGACAAATATCTGTCAGTCAAAAGGCGAATGTGGCGATAATTCTATTAAGCAGAGCCAAGAGTTTTACTTTGCTTCTGTTTACTGTCCAACAAACATTTGTGTTTTTATGCCTAGTTTGAGAAGGACTAAAGATGAGAAATTGAAGGGGAAAAAAAATCACCTACCCGAGGACTCCCAGCAGGCTCGGTGCCCTGCGTTTCCTTCTTCCTTTGCTCCTGCGCCACAATCTCTTTCAGGTATTCATTTACCTGAAAGAGAGAGCACAAACAAGTTTAAAATGACCCGAGCCACAAAAGCATCAAGAAGCAAATGATAAGGAGTAGTGTATGACTCAAATTGCTCTCTTAGAAAGTGTAATAGCCAAATTAGTTTTGTTATTTTAAGTTAGTCTCCATAGTTTATTTTCAAATTGGTAACCTTAATACTGAAATTTTAGTTTCCACATTATTGTCCTGCCAGTAATTAAAGTAACATATATAAAATATTCAAAAACAGTGACACCATGGTCATCTTTTTATTTCTTATTAAGAGCTGATTCAAAGGAATAAGCAGTCCTGGTCCATTTTTGTGACTTTGTTCTGATTTCTACCAATGACTGTAGAAAACAGTCATTTCTACAGTCATTGATTTCTACAGTAAACCACAACACCAGTCTGTGGATTATACACATTTTACATTAAATTTACTTTATTAACGATGCATTTAAGTGGAGCTGAATAGATTTTATTTAAATCTAGCATCTAGCATGAGTTAAAAATGAGAAATCAGTAAAACACAAGTGGAACCCAACAGAGAGCCATATGTCAGATCAGTGGGACACCAAGACCACACCTCCTGTTTGCTGTTGTAAGTGTGTGCATGTGCGTGTATAGCTGAAAGCTGACAGCAGCTCCTTGTCTCTATTAGAGGAATGCAAACAGACTGTTGTAGATTCTGTAGTACTGTATGGAGGAGCAGCCATATGTGTCTGCAGATGATGACCACAACCACTTACACGCTTAGAAAGTCTGATTTGCTGTGATAGTATAAGTAACACTTTTGTAGGGCATGTTTCATAGGTCATATATAGCCTGATGTAACATGGTTTAAGCCTATATATTAAATGTGAGTTAGCGGATATAAGAATGTTTTGTGCCTGAACCAACACGCAGACTGAATACTGACTTATCTCCTGCAGATGTGACTGTAAAAAAATGTGTTTATTGTGACACAATAGAGCTAAATTTAGTGAATTTTCTATAGGTATCAGGATAATAAACAATAACAGGATAATAACAAATAACAAACACATTTTTCTTTTCCAACATCAGCTCTACAAATTCTGTTTATTTCTTCATTTCTATTTGTCTTTTTTGAGTTAATACATTATATGTAGTACACAGTATGACAATGTCTAAGGCAGGAGAAAAAAAAAAGGGGGGGGGGGTTAGAGTACAAATAGACATGCATAATGTATCGCTAACTGCCTCACCTGTAAGGCAGAACAAACATACAACACCTGGAACACAAAAATTAGAAAATTCAAAAGTACATAAATCAGAAATCTTCTTGTGGGGGTGTGTTTGTCTTTGTCATAAGCTACAACAACCCCTCCCAGGAGCCCGACACATTCAGAGATGGATCCAGGAGAACTGGGCCAGCCGCAGCCTCCAAGAGTACTGAAGACTCGAGGCCACACATCTCAGCAATATCTGCCTGCCCATCCTAGCAGGAGAAGTGGGAGGCCCTAAATAGAATACCCACGGCCAAAGGGTGGGAGTCTCAAAGGACCAGAGACGACGGGCAGCTCACCCCGCTAGAGGCTGCCCTAGAGGCTGTGAGCTAAGATCAGGGTCCCAGGGCTCCAGGGGCCACACCAGAACATCCAGCCACGTGCCCCAGAACCAACAAGTACCCCAGCGGGGGGTAGCAGCGCCCAGCGAGGAGTGGTGGGGAGGTGAAGTCTTAGGGTTCACCTGCAGACTGAGTCACAACAGTGTGCAGGTATTTTTTTCTCATTTGTAGTGAATCTACCTGTATGCATCATATGGCAGAACCTCAGGGCATGAAGGCAACATGGTGTATCTAGATCAGATTTCATGGTATTTAGGTCAGTGTTTTCGCTGGACTTCACTGTGCAATGTGAATTTCAGAGGTCAAGCTTCATGAAACCGACGTTGGTGAAACGCCCCTGTGTGAGACTTTTGAAAGAGCTCCTTAAAAAGACATTGAACACAATGAAAGGGGACACTTATGAAATGGCAAAATCTCAAAGGGCATTACTTTTGATCAGTCCTTGATGTTACAAAATATTATTTGTTCTTTAGAAAAAAGATTTTTATAGAGGTTCGCCTGTGAGGAGGACAAATTGACCTGTGCTGCACAGCTGAGAGATGACTGATGAGAAACGTTGTTTTGATGTCAGAATGACCTATGCTTCTGCAGGTTTGGATTTCTTGTGACAAAACAAAATGTTTAATCATACGTCGACTCATGGGATGGCTTACAGAAAGCAATACAACAACACCTGTAATCTTAAGACACCAGTCTTGTGGCCCAAACACTTTTTTTGCCAGGTACAAAATACCAGGCACAAACACAGTCATTTCTATCTCTCTATAACATGTCTTAAGAAAACATTGTGTATCACAACTGACCTTGTTGATCCAGGTGGTCACTGCATCCTCAGTGTCATAAGGTGTTTCCACCTCAGGGTAGCAGGATGGATATTGACAAATGCAGGCCATCACCTTCTCCACGCTCACAGCCTCCACTGTGTATGCCATCATCAGAGTGTCAATCATTGCCAGATGGGCACTCTGAAAGGGAAAACAGTAACAAGATTAATTAAAGGCTGAAAATTAAAATCTCCCAGCTAGCTCACTGTAGTAAAAGAAAAGCAGTCCATCTTGTTTCTTTGCCATAAAATAACAAAACAGTCCTTGTATTATTTGATCATATGCTTTAAGTAGCGAGCAAAGGGAATGAAAAAGCCGTCATTAGTTTCTTCAGTACTGTACAACTGAAACTTTTTCTGAGGTTAAATTTTCCCATGTGGCTGTTGCCCTGGAAACAAATGTGTCCAAGACCCAGTTTGCTCACAGTGGCTGCTGGGCTGTGATGGGCCTGAAGAAAACTTCTTCCTGACAACACTACTGGCATCCGTGCTCTGTTGATTGGCTCATGGTTATTGCTGAAAGCAGGGTGTGTGCTTTTAATTAGATAAAGCCATGTTTGGTGACAGCTTGTGTTATCAGACTGTTATCTTGTGAAGAAAAAACCCACCATACTCTGTACTGTATCGCTTGGCTGCATTTTGGCATATCTACTTTTTCGCTTATTCGGCTCCGTTTTATAACAAAAACAAATATGAATTATAAAAGAAACAATGACTATAACAAGGTGTTAAGTAGCAGCCTGTTCTATTTGGAAACATGCAAATATACACAAGAGTGGGTTTCAAGTAGTTCTCTTATACATCATCTTGACATCATCTCATCTGCTGACTCTTAGCATTTCCGCTCAGCCACCTCCAGCTCAGCCTCCTGTCTTTTTCTTAGTGGTACTGTCTCCAAGCATCATAGCAGGGCTCACTACCTTCTTGTAAACTTTCCCTTTCACTCTTGTTGCTATCCTTCTGTCACAAATCACCCCTGACACTTGTCTCCATCCACTTCAGCCTGTCTGCACTCTTTTCTTTTCCTCTCAGGGCACCATCCTTTGCTCTCAGCGGTTGACCCCAGGTATTTAAACTCCTCTACCTTCACTACCCCTGCTCCTTACAGCTTCCTTGTTACACTGGCTCCTTCTCATCACAAACAAATAGGGGCTATGTAACCTGATGTAATCCCACTCCCAACTTGAATCCATTTGTCACTGCTACTGCACACCTCACCACTGCCTTACTGTCCTCATACAGTATCATAATTCCTATCTTCCTAATTCCTATCATATGCTTTCTCTAGATCCACAAAGACGCAGTGCCACTCCTTCAGATCTGCTCACTATCCTTTTCCATCAACACTCTCAAAGCAACCCTCACATCTACCGCTGCTCACTGATCGGTAGTTCACTTCTTAATCTAGCTTCAACAAATTTTTCCCACAGCTTCATGTTATGGCTCAGTGATGTTGTTACCAAACATCACCTAGTTCTTGAAAACATGTACCAGTACACTTCTTCTTTATCCCTCAGCCATCCTCTCACTTCCCAAGATTTTGTTAAGCAAAAAAATCTGCTGCCCGCACATCTGCATACCTCCACGGGTATGTCATCTGGACCAACTGTGTTTCCACTCTTCATCCTCTTCACAGCTGCTCTCACTTCCTCCTTACTAATCCTCTGGACTTCCCAAGTCACCAACTTTCCCCAATCCATCCTCCTCTCTCTCATTTTCTTCATTCACAAGCTCCTCAAAATACTTCCTCCATCTTCTAAACACACGCTCTATATTCATTAGCAGACTTCCATCTCTTACCCTCCCTCACCTGCTGCACATCCTTTCAAGCCTGAGCTCTCTGCATAGCCAGACTGCACGACAGAAAGTATTTACAATAATTTGAGACTATACTTGAGAACTACAATAGCTAAAGCCTTTGCTTACTACAATGTTTTGTTTTTATGATGTTAGCAAACATCTGCATCAATGACCAGTCTGTTTTCTTTCATCATGACTAAAAAATATTAATTTGATTGGTTCTTCTATATTTTTATGTCCACTTTTCTAGTTTCTTTTTGAACAACGCACCATTATTCATGCTCATTAACCATATCAAGTCAAAGCCAGAAAAAATGCATAATTTGTAGTAGAGCAGGGCGATATGACCAAAAATATTTATCACGACATTTGAAAATTTGCGATAACGATATAACTGACAAAATACTTTACAACTCCACAACTTTGTTAATGCTGTTTTTTATGTGCATTAAAGTTATATAAAAATGTAACAGTGCAAATGCAAATTCCTCGCTGACAGTTTAACCAAAAGGCATTTCCAGTGGAAATTGGCCGACATATCCTCAGCATAACCATGTATAATATCCACAAAACTTAAAAAGAGGTTACACACACACAATACGGTAATATTATGTTGACGCACACTACGTATCACTCCGCGAGGCTCCTGCCTACGATAGCTGTAATGCTCCGACAATCGACAGCCCGCTAGTATGCTCTACCAAAAATAGTGCTTTGTTGTGTATCTGACAGACGAAAGCTAAACCAGTTCCACACCATTAAAGTTGCAGCATTTTTACAAACCAATTCTGCACTGTTCCAAAAAATAGTAATGTCAAATGATTTTACTGTGTATTTTACAAATGTGTACTGTTTTTCTAGAATATCATTACATTTACATAAGTAGACTGTGATCTGACACGTCAAATGTAAAATAACATAACATCACTGTAAATGTAATAAAACACAATTTACTTGTTTGTTAAATATATTTTGTTGTACATATGCATATTTAGATTGTAAAAACACATCCAGAAATGTCTCCCATCATGCCTTGGGACATGTGCTGCTGTTTAGATGTTCTTGTTTTATTGTTTATGGTTACGTTACTTTAAACTGTTATCTTGAATGTTGTGTTTACGCCGTGGTGCAGCGTCACTGACAGTTGTTGTTTTGTAGAGAGAGTGCTGTACCATGAGTGACTTCTGTTGTGCTGTTGTTGAAGCTTGAGGCATATTGTAGCATTGCAAGTGTTTTATTAAGGAGCTCCCCCTACCAGCTTGGGGTTTAATAACAAGCTCAATCTCTCTGTGAGCTTCCTTGTTAAGATTTCTCTGCATGCCACAATGTAAAACATTGCACGGACACGCTGTGCTAATAATATATTTTGAAAAAGAAATGTAGAGGTAGGAATTGCAATTAATATAAATAACATGACGCTAAGCATCGGCCAATGAATGTGAACTAACAACAAGGTCGCGGGTATGGCTGCGACCGTGGGAAAAAACCCTAATATGAAGGTATTTTACTGCATTTTACAGTAATGTTCTGTTCTTCTAGAATATCATTAAAGTTACGTAAATAGACTTTGACTTTACATTTTGAATGTAAATTAACGTTAAATCACTGTAATGTAATACAACATAATTGTCATGATTATTAAATGTATCTGTCTGTGCATATGCATATTT